GTCTCCTGTTCGGCGTCACTGATTCATGGGGCCCTCACGACTGCCTGTGATGAGGCAGGGCTGACTCCACGGGTGACCAAGCCAAGTAGGGGAGTGGGAGAGGTGTGCCTGGGGCTGGGTGACGGGGACTGGGCCCGACCTGCGTCCTCGCCCCCCGCTTCCTGCTGCAGCCCGTCCTCCGCTGCTGCTCCCTGGGGACTGCGTGGCTCGTCACTCTTCCACACAGCAGAAGGTGGCTTTGGCACGTCCACTGACTCGTCCCCCTCCGCTTTCCTGTTTCCCACGCACTCCAGTCACGACCTCGTCACATTGTGCTGGTGTCCTGTTCACAGGTGTCCTACCTGGTGGCCTCCCTGAGGGGCAAGGCCTCCACCTGGCTTATCTTTCTGTGCCTCCAGCTGGTGCCCAGCGGGGAGGGGCCTCAGGTCAGGTTGAGGTGGAGCTGGGGAGCCTTCGGACGCTTTGCATTTTCCCCTCCGCAGGCCCAGCTTCCTGTCCCCTCAGGGTGCGCATGGGAGAGGAGAGATCTGCAGTGTGTCCCCCAGGAGCCAGGGGCCTTTTGTCTTCCCATTGGCGGGCCCACCACCTGGCTGTTAGAGCAGCCTGGGACCCGCTGGCACCGTCTCCCTGACCTGGACCCGGCCCCTGCGCAGCCCTACACCCCGCTGCCCGAGCCACCCAGCCCTTCTCCTGCATGCACTTTCACCCCATCAAGTACAGATGAGGAACAACAGCACACCCGCGGCTGCTCCCCGGGAACTTGAAAGCTGCGCCGCCCGCCCAGGGAATCCCAGCTGAAAAAGACCTGGGTCAGCAGCCTGGAGCCTGTGTGGCTACATCCACCTGTTTCCTCTGCTGCCTGGCCGGCCTGAAGGGCTCCTTCGTTTGGGGAGTGGGAGGACGTGGGGTCCTCACTGGGCCGGGCATGGAATCGTGGCTCGGACAGGGCTACCCTCTGGAACTGAGCTTTCCAGGCGGGAGAGTAAGTGGTGAGTTTGTGAATTTGTCAGCCTTTAGAGAAGACAGAAGGTTGACAAGAGAAGAAACCACAGTGCAGGGTGGCGTCCAGGGTCCATCCTGGACAAAGAAGGGCGTTAGTGGAGAAACTGGAGAAATCTGAGTGAAGCCTGGAGTGGAGCTGGAACCGTGCCAGGGTTCATTGTCCAGCTTGGACAAATGGACAGCAGTTATGCAAGACGTGGGCATTAGCAGAAACTGGGAGAAGGGCACGCGCGGGCCCTTGGACGATCTTTGCAACTTGTCAGTAAGTCTAAAGTTATTCTGATATTGAAAGTTTATTCATGGAAAAAAGCAACCACAAGGGAAGAGGCTGACCCCACACCTGACTGCACTTGACCCTTAACCCCATGCCCTCTTCACACTTCTTAGCCCAGATCTGTAGCCTTCACCCGCAGAGCCAGGAGGCTGGGCTGCATCCACGAGCCCGGGCCTTCTGCTCTCGAGGCTGGGGTCCTCTTCGCCCCGGCCTTGTCTGGGGCTGTCGGGGTCCCAGGCCACGTGCACTGGGGTGGCCTTGGCCACGGTGTTGGCGGTGCTGCGACCTGCCGGCCGTGCCCTGCTGGGCTCATCGCCTTTCGGCTTTGCTTTCTTTCCTCTGAGAAGGGGCCGCTGGGCTAGGCGGGGAGGGCGTTGAGTAAGATACTGTCCGTCAGGAGCCTGGCCCAGCCGACACTGGTTCTCATCCCCTTCTGGGCCGCTCTGTGGGACTAGAGGTCAGTGGTTCTGTGGCAGCTTTGAGGGGAGACGTGGCCAGGGTGGAGGTGGCAGCGGCTCCATCCCCCTGCCTCGTAGGCCCTGTTTCCAGAGGTGACTTCGGCTTTGAGTAATTCATGAGGAATCTTCCAGCTGCTCACTAGGACCCCTCAGAGCTGGCCCATTCGGATCCCTGGAAATTGGCCTGGCTGTTCCTCCACCCTGCAGTGGGCCAAGCCCTTGGGGGGCTTCCTTCTGGAAGGGGAGCCCGTCCGGGCTCAGAAACCCAGAAATCAGAAAGGCTGGGTTGCTGTGGCCCCTCGGGTCGGCTGGGTGTTGCTTGCGGGCAGCTGCTTACCTGTAGGTGGCAGTGGTGACACGGGAATTGGAGGGAAGGGGTAGGGAGGTGGGGGGAGGGGAGAGGGGGAGGGGGGACCGGCCCCTGGAGGCAGGGCGCAGGGGCTCTGCTTCTTGCTGAGTTTGCTCGCCACAGCTGTGGGAGAAAAAATGCTGTCACTGCCGTGTTTTACAGATGAAGAGCCTTGAGGAGGTCACGTTTCTGCCCTGGGGTTACGTGGTAACGGGCTGAAGTTTGGACCCACTCAAGCAGGGGTTCAGTGCCCTGCCCCGTCTCCACCATGATGCCCACTTCTGCTTCTTAGTCCAAAGGGAGCCCACAGGGACAGCTGGGCGCCCAGCTCTGACCTCTCCAGGCCACCCAGGGCCCCAGAGGGTTTATAGCTGCCCCTTCGCGGCAGCAAGGCCAAACGCTCGTGGACTCGAAGATGTGCCGCCCACCCCGCAGCTCCCGGTGCAGGTGGGGAGCCGGGGATGGCCTCACGGCTCGTCAGGCCGGTCAGATGGGAAGCACCTCTCAGAACAGCGTTAGAATGGCCCTGAGAGGTTGGCCCTTGCACGGGCTGTACCTGTCTGACGGCTCCCTTGGGATCACCTCTGCGTAGGCTCTGGGACTGGCACTCAGCAGGACAGGTAGGCGGAGCGAAGGCTCCGCAGACCAAAGGGGTCTGGCAGCCTTCTCGGGGCCGGACGCAGAGGTGCTGGAGCCCTCTGGACATGGCCGTGGGCCCTGCCCTCACACTCCAGCTGAGAACCTACTTGTCTGTGAAGTGAGGACTCCGCTCACCTGGATCTTCTCTTCCCCTTTCTTTGCTGCCAGTGTCCGAGAGGGCCTGGTAAAGCTGTACGTCAGCCAGCGATGCCCGCTCTCACCGCTTCTGTGCAGCACGGCATTGGAAGTTCCAGCCAGAGCAGTCAGGCGGGAAAAGAAGGAGAAGGCATCCGAACGGGAGAGGAAGAAGTAGGGTTACTTCTGTTCACGGATGACATGACCTTTATGCCAAGAACACCAAAGACTTCATTAAAAAAAAATGAGAAAAACTCTTAGAACTAATAAACAGAGCTAGCAAGGCTGCAGGATATGAAATCAACACTCAAAAATCAGCTGTGTTTCTGTATGTTAACAACGAACAATCCGAAAAGGAAACGAAGAAACCAGCGTCATTTACGGCAGCTTCAGAAAGAGTGAAGTCCCTAGGAACTGCCCAAAGAGGTGAAGGGCTCTGCACTCTGGACCCTGTGAAACACTGCTGAAGGGAGTCAAAGGGGGCAGAAGCAAGTGGAAAGATACCCCATGCTCATGGCTCAAAGACTTCATGCCTTTAAGATGACTGTACTCCCCGAAGTGGTCTGTAGATTCAGTGCAGCCCGGATCAAAATCCCACCGTTTTTTTTTAAGAGGGTATTAAGTCATTTATTGATTACACACGATAATGGACGGTACACAGGCTTCATTCCCATCTGTAGCAAATGCTTTATGGTTCTGCTCGTACGAGGAACTTAGAGGAGTCAAGTCCATAGAGACAGACAGTGGTAGGGTGGGGTCCAGGCGCAGGGGGAGGGGCGGGTGAGTGTCTAGCAGGGACAGGATCTCAGTTTGGGACAATGAGAACCTTCTGGAGATGCCAAGGGTGTTGGCTGCCCAACAGTGCCAGGTGCTTAATACCCCTGGACCGTACACTTAAAAATGACGAAAATGGTCAATTTCACATTGTGTATATTTATGTCTATTTTACTACAATAAGAAAAGTCACCAAAACAGAAGAAAAAGTACGCATAGGCCAGTGTCCTCGCGCAGTGGGGACTAGAGGGCTGGGGCTCGGCGACCATGTGGCCCTGTCACCGTGGTGGACAGGAAACAGCACCCAGGAGGGCAAGGGAAGCAGGTCCGAGGCTCAGGGTATCTGGCGGGGCCGGGACCGAGCCAGGGCCACGCGGCGCCCCGTCCTCCCTGGGCCTCGGGCTGCCCTCCCGCTTCTGCGTCCCAGCACCCCGCTCTTGCTGGCCAGTGGCTGGATGGCTGCGTCATGGTTCCTGCCGGGGCAGGACCCGAACCACCTGGAGCTGGTGGAGCAGGTACAACCTGCCTCGTGCCCACCGGCTCTGATGGGAAGGCACGGGGCTGGACCCAGGCAGGAGGGTTTTTAAATGAAAGCGTCCTGGTGATTCCTACCTGCAGCCAAGGTTGGGACTCAGCGGCCTATGACTCCCCTGTCTCCCTGGCCCTGCGCCCTCTCTAGCTGCAGGGGAGAGTGGGGCCCTCAGGACTTCACACCATCTCTGGCTCCTTTTTTCTGGCTTCTCTAGTCCTGTGTGCTCTGCTTGAAGAGGTTGGTGTTGTCTTTTGGGGTGGGGGGTGCCATCACTCCTCCTCCCTGGGTTCCATGGCACCAGGGCCTGGGGACCCAGCCAACTCGGAGTTCTGTGGCTGTTCTCCGTCTCCCTGTCCTCGGGCCGAGGACGGTGGAGGGCTCACCTCAGGCTGCCAGTCTCCAGTACGTGGCACAGGGACCTTGGGGTTTCATTTTGCCTTCAAGTTACCAAGGAAGCTAGTTTGGTAGCCTGCAGGCCAGTCAGGTGTAGTCTGTGTTCCTCGCGGCCCTTTTTCTGCCTAAGTGGGGAGAGGCGCAGCGTTCGCACCTGTTCACACCCGTCTCTCTGGTGGAGGGGGAGCCGCTGCAGCCCGCGTTCACAGAGCATGTAGGACTTGGAGCAGGAGACGGTGGTGGCTCTGAGCAGTGCTGGGATTGACCTTTTTTCCCACCTGGCTGCTCTGTGCCCACCTGCCTCCCTTGCACCCAGTAATCCCAAAGGTTCGCCTCACATTGCTGGGGCATGTCGCCAGATGAGCATCCTGCCCATTCAGACCCCGGCCCCTCCCCTCATCGCCCAGCAGGAAGCCGCCTCCAGGCTTCTTCCCTCACTCTGGACTGTGGGGGAGGCGGGAAATGTGGCCGCGTTTCTCCATTCCCACCAAAAGGATGTTGCTGAATGCAAAATGCTCAAGCCAGCCCTCTTGTGCCTTCTGCTGCTGACTGCTTCTGAAGTCACTATATTTAACATCAAAGTGGAGCAAGCAGCAGCGGGAACCACGCCGCTGGACCGTGAGGCTCCTCCCCGAAGGACTGCCTCAGATTTCAGACGGCCTGGGAGAGCTGGGCGTGGGGGGAACAGGCCGAGACAGAGCACTGACATTGCTGTCAAGCCGACCTTCAGGGCAGCCTGGCCCCCAGCCTGAGCCAGGCAGGAGGCAGCCTTTTCTGAATGGAGAAAATGCCATGGCAACAGCATCAGGAGGACGTGCTCTCTCATGCTGCAGGCTTAATGGGAGCTGTGTCTGTCCGGCTCAGCCCCACCCAGCCCAGCCCAGCCTTGCTCAGCCCTGCTCTGCCCTGCTCTGCCCTGCTCTGCCCTGCTCAGGCCAGCCCTACCCAGCCCAGCCCAGCGCAGCCCAGCCCCTGGCCATCAACATATCATCAGAGACCTCTGAAAGGTCAGCCCTTCGCTGCCTGGGTCACCGGTGCTTTGACCTTTACCCGTCCCAAGGGCCAGCTGCCAGGAACGACTTGCCCGCTGCTCCCTGGAGCATGTGTTTCTGCTGTTGCACCAGGATTTATCTTAGGTTTTGACAATTTCTGTGATAAACGAAATGAGACTGAACTTTGCATCCTCTGGCCTGGGGACAGGACCGAGTGAGGGACCCATGTGAGTAGCCGCAGCTGCTGGACGATCAGACCCAACTTTGGTCCCATTGCAGGAATTCTCTTACCAGGAGAGAAAAATAAGAATTGGTCCCAGCCCCTTTGTCAGGCTCGCCTCCCTCCTCTGCCTCAGCCGAACACCCGCAGATGGTTTACGTGGCGTTTCCAGCAAGATGAGAAGAAGCATTCTTTTGGGGCTGGTTCTTTATAATCAAAACGAGTCTATATCTTTTAGCTTGAAAACCCAGAGTCCCCGTAACTGAATGGAGAGCGCTGACCCCGAGGACAAGTCGTTGGGCCTTTGAGCCCTTGCCGGTACCATCAGAGGGGGAGCGGGTGTCAGGTTACTGGGTTCCGCGGCTGCACCGAACTTGGAATGAGGCTTCACTGCTTTCCTGTTCCCTCTGTGGCCCCGCCGAAGTGCAGTCGCAGTTTCTCCCCCAGGTCTGGGCGATCCCCTGTCCCCGTGCTGTGGGGGCAGACTGCCAGTGGGGGGTGGCCCTTGGGCCGGCTGGCCTGTCCATTTGCTGGCTCCGAAGGGTCACAAATAGCCCTGTTAGGAGGCTGCTGGGTCGGTGGCTGCAGACAGCCTCTGCTGGGCGTGACCCCTGCAGGGAGTCACCTCGCCTGGGAGTGGACACCTCGAAGCAGAGGGCTGTTCAGAGAACCAAGAGAGCAGGGGCTGGAGGCCAGGCCACCTCACCACGGGCAGAAGCTCAGGAGGCCGCCTGGCACGTCCACCGCTGCTGGGTTCCAGGTGCTTGCTCGGCCCTCAGCCTGTCTCCTCTGTACTGGACCGTGCTTTGAGCCATTCTGCCTGGGGGCCTGGCCCTCCCCGCCCCTCCCACCCTGGCTGCCCTCCTCCTCCAATTTCTGCACCTGCCCTGGGGTGGGGAGCAGCGGCTCTGGCTCTGGTTAAGGGCCCCCGGCACAGGGCCCAGCCCGCTGCACACGTGGGTTCATCTGAGGCCGCCTCTCACCCTTGTGGGTGTTTTTTCTCCTTCAGTGGGTGAAGAAAGAGCCTTTGGGTGCCAAGGGTGCAAAAGTTGACGATACATCCTTTCTGTAAAAATTACAGCAGTGAGGTTTCTTGTGTGCAGCCTGGAGGCTGTGGCTCACATTTTGAGCAGCAGTTACACCTGGGGAGCGTGATGTCACTGCTTGCACACACAGGCTGTTTGGATGTGTGAGTTCTGGGGTGTTGTGTACGAAACAAGTGTTACTTGTCCGTGGTTGCGTCCAGTGAAACAAGGCCACTTGCAGCCTGTGCAGAGGCCATGTGTTTCACTGCTTGCGTGTCAGTGGAAGTGTGGGCTGTGTGAAGCTTTTGTTAGAAGGGTGGTGATGGTGCCCCTCTCGCGAGCCGCACAGTTGGGGTGGGGCAGGTTTGGAATTCATCTAAGACATCAGTGCCCTGTCCGAACCCCGCCTGAGCTCACAGCTGGGCCATGTCTGCCAATGCCCAGGCTTCTGAAATCAGACGTTGGTGCCACCAACTCAGCTGTGTGATCCCAGCCAAGGACCCAACCTTTCTGAGCCTCTTTGCTTCTTTCTAAATGTGGGAGAGACTAGTGCCTACCTTAGAGGCACTTAAAATTTGTTTATAAATTGTGTTATAATACGCGTAACAAAACCTGCCGCCTTCACCATTTTGGGTGTTAATACAGTCACATTGTCATGCAGCCATTCTCTAGACCTTTTTCATCTTGCGAAACTGAAACTGTCCTCCTTAGGCAAAAAATCCCTGGCAGCCATGATTGTCCTTCCTCTCTATGAACTGACTACTTCGGAAAGCTCAGATAAGTGGAGTCATGCAGCGCTTGTCTTTCTGTGTCTGGCTTATTTCACTCAGTGTCATGTCCTCAAGGTTCACTCTTGTTGTAGCAGGTGTCAGAATCCCTGTCCTTTTCAAGGCCGAGTAATATTCCACGGCACGTGCGCACCACAGTGTGCATCTGCTCACCTGGGGGTGGACGCTTGGGCTGCTTCCACCTTCTGGCTAGCGACAGTGGTGCTGCTGTGAACGTGGGTGTGAGAATCTCCCTGAGATCCCACTTTCAGCTCTTGGGTATGTACCCAAGAGTAGAGTTGCTCGATCGTATGACTGTTCTCTTGTTAACTTTTTGAGGACACTGTCCTATTTCCCACGAGGGCTGCCTCATCTCACATCCCCACCAAGCGTGCACGAGGGCTCCAGGTTCCCCGCAGCCTTGCCAGCACTTGCCACTTTCTGGTTCTTTGACAGCAGCCGTCCTCGTGGGTGGGAGGTGCTGTCTCACTGGTTGGATCTGCACTTCCCTAATGATTAGTGACACTCAGCGTTTCTGCTGTGGGCGTGTTGGCCTTTTGTGCACCTTTTGGAGGAACGTCTGTTCAGGGCTTTCGCCCCGTTCAGGTGGGGTTTGCCGTCAGATGGTGAGGGCTCTTGCTTTGCTGGGAAGGCTGCTGACTCCTCATCCCTTCACAGACGTCCTCTGACTCTGCAGGCTGCTGTCTTGCTGTTGACTGTGTCCTTTGATGCAGAGGAGGTGTAGCCCTTCCGCAGCCCAGTCTGCTGTTGTTTTCTGGTGTGGCCTGGGTCCTCAGTGTCACAGCCATGAAGCCACGGCCACACCCAGTGTCACAACGCTCTCCCCTTGTGTTCTATTCTGAGAGCTCCAGCTCTTGGGAGTTGGGACAGGGTCACGCAGGCCCCCGCCCCCACTGTGTCCTGTCCCAGAGCGAGTCGCCCCGCGCTGCTGCTGGCACTGCCCACCTGCTTGCGGGGAGGATATGGTGGGTCTGGTCCCTCCGGCCCCCTGCCAGGGCCCCTTGCTCCAGGAGAAATGTCAACCAGTTTCCTTTCTGAATTCACAGAAAAGGCCACAGATGGCTCCCTGCAGAGCGAGGACTGGACGCTGAACATGGAGATCTGCGACATCATCAACGAGACGGAAGAAGGGTGCGTGGGCCCCCCACCCCACCCCAGGGCGGGTCAGCTCCCGCACTCACCGCCCACCGGGCCTGCGGGGCTCGGGCTACACGCCGTGTTCCATTTCTAGTCTGTTTGCTTCAGCATTGATGAGCCAAGACCCTGCATTCTCTGTCCTCTTCCGTCCACCTCCCTGCCCAGCTCCCCAAAGGCGCTGCTTGACGTAGAGCAGTGACCACCTCTTTGAATAACCTGCTTTTAATCACAAGTGAAAATGAGGCTGCTAGGTTACTCGGCCCCCAGTGGTCATCTGTCTCTGCAGCCAGACCCCGCCACCTCCTGCCCCTTTGCAGACCTGGGGCTGCGTCTGCCCTGCTGGACGGGAGGGGGCCCAGGGTGAGGGGGCCCATGGGAGTGGGGAGTAGGGAGGTGAGCGTTAACCCCCAGCCACCCCTGCATCCCTGCGCTGCCGGGTCTGTATCCTCTGCTGCACCACCGCGACGTGGCATTTACGTTGCTTCCACACTGGCCACTGTTTGATGCTCTGTCCACACCACCCTCTCTTAAACCACCTCCAGATGGGGGCAGCCCTGGCCTTGCCCCGTGGCGCTGTGTTGACCAGCCTGGCCGTGTGTAAACTGGGGACCTGCCTCTGCAGGCTGGTTCTGCTTTCATGCAGCGAGTCCTTACTGGGTGCCTGTCTCGGGCCAGGCCCCTGCCCGAGACGGCGCAGTGACCAGGAGCTGACGGTCCAGAGTGGGGAGGTGGCCCCTAAACAGGACACTTAGAACACATCTGGGGCAGCAGGTGACCACACTGTGGGGGGCTGAGCTGGGTGGGCACCTGTAAACCGCCATCAGGGAAGGCCTCGCTCAGGTGGGCCCAGGACAGGACGTGAAGGTGGTGGGGCTGAAGTGTGACGGTGCTGCCCGGAGGACTTCCCAGCACGGGTCCTGGGACAGAGCAGGGAGGTTGAGGGACACACGTCCTTCCACGGGGAGGAGCCTCTCACGGTGGCCGGGCTCCTGCCCTTCCCCGTGGAGGGTCCCGGCCTGCGCTGTCACTCCCGCCCGTGATCTCTGTGCGGCCGGGAATCTGCTTTGTTCAGTTTGTTGCACTCTCAGCACCGGGACGGTTCTTGACAGACACCTGTTGGGTGGGTGAGTACGCGGATGCGGCCTGGGGAGCTGTCTGAGGAGCAGGACAGGCAGGTGAAGGTGGGCACAACCCTGTGCAGCAAGTGCTCCATGAGGGCCGGGTGCAGCTCGGGAGAGCTGGGCGCAGGGCTTCCTGGAGGAGGTGACATCCAGGTGGAGGCCTGCAGCCCATGTGGGCTTGGCCAGGCGAGGAGAGTGGACAGGCTGGACAGTGGGATCAGGGGCCTGGCACCACCAGCCTGGGTGACCCTGTGTGGGTCTGCCTCCCGCGCCTGTCCCCTCATTTATAAAACGAGCCCCAACGGCAGGTTGCTCGTGTCACGAATGCCCTTGCCCTGCTGCCCCCTGAGCCCTTGCTGAGCCCTGGGCTCCACCCTCAAGCCAAGGGGCAGCCGTTTTAATGTGGGGGAAACTGAGGCTCCGAGTGGTTTGGTCACTGGCCGAAGGTCTCAGTGCAGTCGGGAGGGGCCAAGGCAGGAGGCTAGCCTGGCTGACCGGGGCCCAGCCGCCAAGCTGTGTCTGCCCTTCAGTTGTTTCGAGTGTCGTGTCTGGGAGGCCGTGGTCCTGCGGGCTGTCCCGAATACCCAGGGCTCAGCTTGCCTCCAGCCGGGCCCCTGTGTGGCTGTTGCTCGTGTCCTGGGTCCTTGTCATGAACTGGAGTGCCTGGCTGAGCAACAGGGCCAGTAACAGGGCCTCACCCAGGCCTACGTAATTAGGGCCCAGGCATTTGGTACGTGGATTTGGTAAACGCTCCCCAGTTGATTCTGAGGAGGCTCTGGTGAGGGTCCCCACCTGGTCACTTTTAGGACCACCTGGGACCTTCCCCAGCTCCCCGAATCCTTGTGCCCCAGCCTCCAAGCTGCGGGGGCCCAGAGGAGTAGCCCCAGGTAGATGTAGTGGAGCAGGGTGACCGCTGTGGGGGGCAGGGAGGTGTTCAGGGTGGCGGAGGGGGCACAGCCGTGCCCTCCCTGGGTGGCGGGTGCAGTTCTGGATCCGAAAGACTAGGCGGTTCAGTAGCACTGGAAAGAAGGTCTCTTCTAAGTGTGGGGTCTAAGGAGGCTTTGAGGAGGCTGGAGATGGCCCAGGGGCCGGATCGGAGGCCCCGACCTTTCCTCCAGGAGCTGCCGGGCTAACTTCTCCCGCTCCGTCTCTCCTCTCCAGTGTCCCCAACCCTCCTCCTGTCTGATCTGCTGCTCAAAACTTTGTGCTTCTCCAGCAGAACGTTGGCCTCCTCTCTGCAGCCTCTCCCCCGGGGAGGGAGAGGAACACTTGCTCTGTGCTCCCCCAGTCACTCTCAGGCAGCAGCTCCTCAGGGGGAGGGGTTCATTCTCACTCCACCCAGGAGCCCGCTGGCTCCGGTTCCCTCCACCGCCATCACCCCCCACCCTGGAGAGCCCTGAGCGCCCTGCCCTGTCCGTGATCGCAGCCCCTGGAACCCTTCCCATTCTTCTGCTCTGTGGAAGTTCAAGAGTAGAGGAATGAGCTGGGACTGAGGGATGGCAGCCTCAGGTCAGGAGAGAGAGAAGAATTCAAGCCGTGCTCCCCCGGCCTGCAGCTGCTGACTTTCACCGGCTCAAGTCCCCGGAGTCCTCAGCCAAGAGCTTGTCAAGTCCCGCATTTGCAGGACTCAGCCTCCCTGTTCGGAGATCAGGGACCCGCGCCCCGTCAGCCCTTCCCCTCGGGAGCCAGGGATTCCTGCCAGGCAGCCCTGCTTCAGGTCGGGGGTGGGAAGTAGGTGGCCCGGGCCTTAAGTTTCCTCCGGGAGCCTCGCCTTGCTGCCACGAGTCTCTGTCTGAGTTGGGCTGGTCAGCGGCGCCTCTCCCCTCCCCTCCTGCACCTTCCTCACACACTCTGGGAAGGGACTTCGTTGTCTGGTAAATAGATAGTAACTATTTGAGAACTGCAGCAGCAGGAGGCCCCTGACGTACGAACCTTCAGCTTTGGAAAGACCCAGCTCATACTCACGCTGATGTGTCGGTTGTGGGAAGGCTGGAGCCCCCCCTGTGGAGGCAAAGAGCGGGCCCCCAGAGGGGTGACGGGTCGGCGGGGCAGGGGCTTCATGCCAGAGGTCGCTCCTGGCCCCACAACTTTGTTGACTCCCAGCTTAGAAGTAATTAAATAAGATGTTAGACACAAGGGCTGCACCTAACAGGCGCCCTTATTGGGCTGGCGGGGACCCACCCTCACAGCGGTACCTGGGCTTCAGGAAGAGCCGTCCCGCGAGCCGAGCAGGCAGCTGGTGAAGCGCAGCCTGTTCTCTCCATTACCTCAGAACACCCAGCTCCTTAGGTTTTGAGGGGACTTACTCAGGCTTCTCAGGGAGAAAGGGGTTCCAGGAGCCAGGCAGGCTGACCTCCAGGCCTGGCCGCTCGCTCCTTTCCCTGCAGCGAGCCCAGCCTGGGGCGCGCTAGCGCTGTTTTGAGTGAGTGGTGCCTGCGGGTGCTGCAGAATTCAAAGGGCTGCAAAAGGCGATGCAGTGGACAGCCGCCCTGCTCCCGGGCTGCCCGGCGCCCTGCCCTGGGGCCGCAGTGACCTGCTGTCTGCCGCGGTCTTTGTGTGGCTCTGCCCGGCTCTGCAGACGCTGCCCACTATGTCTCAGATGCCCGAGGAGTGCCTTTGTTCTTTCCTGCAGCCGCGCAGTGTCCTGCTGTGTGGTGGACGTGGTTTACTTTGACCTGGTTCACGTGGACGGACGTTGGGTCTGTTTCCAGCCTCTCGTACCTGCAGACGAGCTGCGGCAGATACCTGTGCCGGGCTGGCTGACATGGATGGGCGTGACTCGGTAGGAAGGGGCCCCAAAGTGGGATTTGCAAGGATCGTAATCCGTCCTCTCCTCCAGGCCAAAGGATGCCATCCGAGCCCTGAAGAAGCGGCTCAACGGGAACCGGAACTACCGAGAAGTGATGCTGGCGCTGACCGTGAGTGCTGCCCACAGCCGGCGGGAGGGCGTCTGGGAGGCACAGCCCGGGCAGCACGGCTGGCGGGTGGCTGGGTGTGTGCGCTGCTGGAGGCTGGCGGTGCCTTCTGCTGGTGCCCTGGGCTGGTCCACCCTCTGAAACGGGGGCCTTCACCTGGTAAATACCTCCAGCAGAAGATGAGGTGTGGGCAGCCTCGCCCAGGACAGAAGCCCAGGGCAGAGAAGCCCCAGGCCTGGGTGTGGGCCCCTTGCGGCCCCCAGCCTGCCATGAGGCACCAAGGCCGCCGCTTCCTTCTGACGAAAACGCTGACTCCCACCAAGTACCTGCCCAGGTGCTAACTCAGGTGCTCCCACTAACCTTCCAGAACAGGTTCCTCATCCCCTTTGGCAGATGAAGAAACTGGCTCAGAGGGGCCCAGAGGGTTGCCCAGACCTCACAGTTCCTGGGGTGCCAGACTGGATTGTGGGGTCAAAACTGAACGTCACCACGCAGGTTCTTGGGAAGTCAGCCAAGCTCCTCCTTTCGGGAAGGAACAGGCCAGATTTTTGCCCTTCCTTAAAAAGTCAGAAAATGAAGACAGACAACTTCAGGTGTTATTTCTGTCTTGGAAGCAACATCTTTTCAGATGTGGCGAAAACCGGGCTGCAGTGAGCTCCTGCCATAGAAGCTTGAACAGGCCAGCAGGTGGACTGATCTGTCGGCTTGGAGAGTGAACGACTTATCCAAAGCAGCTGTAACTTGCTCCTTTTAAAGCGGAGAAGCCATTTGGGTTTTTCCCCCAAGTGTAAACCCAAGACTAATAGGGGAGCTCTCTGCCGGGGGCTTGGGTTTGAATAAGACCAGCTGAGGAGCAGGGGTAGAAGACTTCTGTTTTTCCCTCAGAATTTGAACCGCAGCTTTCACTCAGCCCAGAGTGATGCCCAGAATGGACTGTTTTCAGTCACTGTCATCACCAGGCAGTGAACTCTGAACACGCCGGCGGTTTTCCTGGTCTCTGAACCGCATCCAACTTCGCGGTAACCGCGCCGGGTGGAGACCTCTCTGGAGGGGCTCTGCCTTTGGCACCGCACAGCCCGTGCTGGTGGCCGGGTCCTAATTGTATGGTTATAGTGATGAGCAGTGACGCTGAGTGGCTCTTCCTGGACCTGTTGGCCACATGTGTGCTTCGTTGGAGAAATATCTTTTAAGTCCTTTGCCTGCTTTTAAACCAGACGCTTTGTGTTCTTGCTGTTGAGTTGTATGAGTTCCTAGTGTATTTGGGATGCTAACCGCCCGTCAGACAGATGGTTTGCAAATGCTCCCTCCCGTTCCGTAGGTTGTCTTTTTATTCTGCCGACTGTTTCCTGTGCTGTGCAGAAGCTTTTTAGTTCAACGGAGCCCCACTTGTGCGTGTTTTTATCGCTGGTGCGTTGGGTGTCACATACAGAAAACCGCTGCCAAGACCCAAGTCAGGGAGCCTTTCCCTACATTTTCTTCTAGGGGTTTGACAGTTTCAGGTCTTACCTTTAAGTCCTTCATCCATTTCGAGTTCATTTTTGTGAGAGCTGTCAGAGAGGGGCCAGCTTCATTCTTCTGCGTGTGAATGTCTAGTTTTCCCAACATCACTTAGTGAAGAGACTGTCTTCCTCCACTGCGTAGTCTGGGCTCCCTTGGCAAATGTTGGTTGACCATATGTGTGAGGTTTTATTTCTGGGCCCTCAGTTCTGTTCCCCTGGTCTGTTTGTCTGTTTTTATGTCACCGGCACACTGTTTTGATTCCTATAACTTTGTAATATAGTTTGAAATCAGAACGTGTGCTGCTTCCAGCTTTGTTTCTCTTTCTCAGGATTGTTTTGGCTGTTCAGGGCCGTTTATAGTTTCTTATGAGTTTCAGGATTTTTTTTCTGTTTCTGTGAAGTCTGTGGATGGCTTTGGGTACTGTGGACATTTTAACAGTATTAATCCTTCTGACCCAAGAATGTGGGATTCCTTTCCATTTACTTTTGTCTTCTTTAATTTCTTCTATCAACGTCTGGTAATTTTCAGAGCACAGATCTTTCATCTTGGTTAGATTTATTCCTAAGTATATGTTTATTTCAACGTGGTCAGGTCTTTGCTGCAAATCCCACGATGCCTTTGGGAGACCCGTGAGACGTGCAGACCCGTTCTTCCCCCACCGCAGGCCCAGCCTGGCACTCGTGGGCGCATGTCTGCTGGCACCGCTCTTCCGCCTGGGTCTTCATTCTCCCTGTCAGTTGATCTCAGTGCCCCCGCTTCCGGTGGGGCTTTCCTGACTCCGCATCTGTCCCCACCAAGACTGCCTAGGTTTCCCCAGAGAGGAGCTGCTCGAGGCTCTGAGGGGCTGTCTGCTCAGGCTTTCCTGTATTTCTGATTGCTTGGAGGCGCCCCTTGACTACTCCACGAGCATGACTCCATTCCGGAAAATTCCCACCACATCCCAGGTCCTGCAGCCCCGGGGCAGAGCTGCCTTTTCCCCGAGCAGCCTGCAGTGGGCCTTGCCAGCTGGGGGGGGCTTTGCATCTCTGGCTCTGCTGGCTCTGTGGCCCCACTAACGGTCCGGGGTGTTTCAGGGACCACGTGAGGCAACAGGAATCGAGCAAAGGTTGCCTGTCAGAGGAGGAGGAGGGCGGGCCCTGTGCCTGGTGTGGCTCCGAGGAGGCCCCCTCCTATTTCTGGTCCAACCAGCACTTGTACCGACACCAGTTTCTCCAGCTTTCCAAGCCTCTTAACTCTAAAAAAACGGGATGACAACCTCCACTTAAAGAGAATTCATGAGTGTTGAGGATGGAGTGAAATCACATGCAATGTGAAAGAGTCTCTCCTGGGTCAGCCGTGAGGTTGCCTTCAGTTGCGTCACCGTTAGGGACTTGTGTGGCCCTGCTTTGCCCAGGTAGAGCCCCGTCGTCTGACCCCAGCCCCGAGGAATGGCTCCCCAGGTCACCAGCGGTCAGCTAGTTTGGGCAGAGGATACGTGGAGCCGTCAGCAGTGTCCCTTTGCTGGTGACGTCGTTCCCCGGAGGCAGTCCCCACTAGGGGACGTGGCATTGGCGGTGCCAGCCTGGGGCTGGATTTGCAGAGAGCCGCCCGCGAGGCCCGAGGCTCCCTCCAGTGGTCCCCCTGGATCCCAGGACCCCCACCCTCCGCACCGGGCTGTGAGGACAGCAGGCCTGTGTTGCAGACACACTCTCACCCTGACTGCAGTCCTGCCTCGGGGCACAGGCCCCACTTTCAGCCGGAGAAGCTGGCTCAGACAGACGGCCCTGGGCCCTTCAGGCAGAAAGCAGTGGGCCTGAGCTGCAAGTCCACGCCGGCCGGCCGGCCAGGACCCACAAGCGCCTCACTTTCCTGTGTGGCTGAGGCCTATGTAACTTACTTTTCCAGGGAAGGGAGGAGGGGCGGGGTCTGAATTGAACGTGGGCCTTCGAGGCGCACCGACCACACCGGGGTGAGGATCCTTGGCCTGCTGCTGTGGATGCAGCAGCAGGTGTGGGGGCCATGGGGTGTGAGTGTGTGTTTGCTCCCTCATGTAGGGAGGCCTGGCCAGGACTTAAACGCTCATGTTGGCCCCACTGAAGCACCAGCCTCCTCCTTGTGCAGAGCTGGTACCCCAGTCAGCAAGGAGCCACCGTCTTCCTGGATGAGGCCATGTGGGGACGCCTGTGCCCTCTGGGTCTGACTCCGGAGGAGACGTCGGAATGGCCTCCGGGAGGAGGAGGGGGTGCCGAGAACCAGCTGCTCCTGGGAGGGACTCCCCGGTGCTGACCCCTCTCTCCGTTCCTCCCGCGTCAGGTGCTGGAGACGTGCGTGAAGAACTGTGGCCACCGCTTCCACGTCCTCGTGGCCAACCGAGATTTCATCGACAGCGTTCTGGTCAAGACCATCTCCCCCAAGAACAACCCCCCCACCATCGTACAGGACAAGGTGCTCGCCCTCATCCAGGTAGGTGGCTCGGCCGCGTCCCGCGCGGAGGCTGCTCAGGTGTGGCCTCCTCTCAGAGGGTCCTCGCGCTTTCCCATCATTTGGAGGAAAGAACGGAGGCTTCTGGGTTTAAATCCCTGTTGAGACATTCTTTTTTTTTAAACATTTTTTTTATTGAGTTATAGTCAGTTTACAATGTTGGGTCAAATTCCAGTGTCGGGCACAATTTTTCAGTTACACATGAACATACAGACGTTCGTTGCCACGTTCTTTTTCGCTGTGAGCTACCACCAGATCTCGTATGTATTTCCCTGTGCTACACAGTATAATCTTGTTTGTCTATTCTGCATACACCTGTCAGTACCTACAAATTTTGAACTCCCAGTCTGTCCTCGAGACATTCTGACTTTCTATCATTACCCCACTGGGGTAAAGCCCTCAGCGGTGGCTGTCCAGCCAGGTGACAGGCCACTGCTGGTGTTTTCTGGGCGCCTGGCCCTCGCTGCCCACAGGGGACAGGCCTCTGAGCCACCAGGGTCGCCGTGCAGTGGGAGGAGCCATGCAGAGGCACGTGCAGGGGCCGCACCACGGGGCGGGGTGGGGCGGGGTGGTCAGGGTTCCCTGAGGACGTGGCACTTCTCTTGGCCCCTGTAGGGTGACCAGCTGGGTGGGAGGGCAGAGGGCAGGAGGGCAGGCAGAGAGCAGTGTGGTAGAGGCCCTCCACCCCCAGAGGGCGGCTGGCACTCGGGACACGTTCATTGTCTCTGGCTCTGTGACGGACGGCCCCAAACTCAGCACTTCCACAGCAAACGTGTATCGTCTCTTAGCGTCCAGGGAGCAGGTGTCCAGGAACAGCTCTGCTGGGTGGTTCTCCTGAGGTTGCGTCAGGGCGTCGTTCGGGCTGCCTCATCTGAAGGCCCGGCCACAGCCAGAGGAGCCACACCCAGGGCACCCCCCACGTGGCTGTTGGCAGGAGGCCTGAGTGTCTCACCATGTGGCCTCTTGAGTGTCCTCGTAACATGGCAGCAGGTGCCCAGAGTGAGGGGGACACTGCGGCGCCTTTTAGGGCCGCATTGTGGAGCCACGTGTCACGGTTTCTGTCGTGTTCCGTTGGTCAGAGGGAGTTCCAGCCTCAGGAGCAGGGGATTCAGCTGCAGACCTTCCCGAGGAGAGCGGAGGGTGTGGAGGAACGTGGAGCCAGGCCCTGGTGTGCTGAGAGGTGCAGGGGTCGCAGGCAGGAGAGGAGGCTGCGCTGTGACCGGCAGGCGGTGGGGCGCGGTGACCGTCTCTTAGCCCCTGCCGACAAGGGCTGTGCTGTGGAGAGGAGAGACCAGGGCCTGCGGGAGCTGAGGGGAGGGGCGACCCCGGGCTGAGGCACAGGGCTGGGGAGCCGGGCAGCTGCGGGCTCTGGCTGTTCTTTCTCCTGCGCCCTTTGCCTGAAAGGCTGCCCCAGCTCCTTGGCCTCCCCACAGCCTGGGTGGGCAAATGCCTGCAGTCTCTGGGCACATCTGCACAAACCTGCGCGGTCTGGAGCCGTAGAGCCGTGGTCAGGAAGTCACTGTTACTCGTAATGAAGGATGAGCGCAGTTCGCCAGCGGCGTGAGGAAGGGGTGGTGGGGACCGGGCGGCCGGGCCCGCGGAGATCCTGGGGAGGGCAGTGCCTGGAGACCCCGACTCTGGGGACGGAAGTCTGGTCCCAGAGCATCAGCAGGACATGCCAGAGCCTCTTTTTATCCAAAGAGCAGAACCCCTAGTTTAAGTCAGCAATTACTTATTGATCTGAAATTTGATGATTTGGAACTTGAGGAACAGGGAAGTGAGCGGTGCACATTTGCATGAGGTTTTAGTGTGGGCTTTGGTGTGCAGGCTGAGGGTGAAAGCATGACTCTCTCCCCTTGGACCTTCCTCTGGGTCTCCCAACCCCCAACTCCGGGGCTCAGGCAGGAAGAGGGAGGGACTGGGCAGCGGGGTGGACGCTCCACGGCTGACTGCTCGCTCCCGGACGGACCCTCTGCTTTCCAACGGGCAGCTTGCCAGCACCCGTCTGCCGCTCCCTGGCTTCAGGTCGGGGACCAGGGACGACCGGGCCAGCAGAGGCCCGGCCATGGAGTACAGCCTTGACTCTCAGCCGGGCCAGCAGTCTAGGGGGCTCCCATGTTGTCACTGTCACCTCAGCCCGTGTGCCGTCCTCCTCTGCTCCTGAAGCTGGACGGTTAGGACGCTGAGTAACCATGAGAACGTGTTCAGCCTGACGGGACAAACACGGACGAACTGCCTCCTCTCTGCCAGGCGAGACCCAGCCGTGGGCACCGTCCCAGGAAGGAGCCAGAGGCTCGTGGCGGCGTCTCTGCGTCCCCCGCATCATAGCCTTCAGCAGGGAGAGCATACTCCGCTGGCAGCCCCGCGCCGGCAGGCACAGGGGTCTCGAGCGGGAACAGGAGGGGAGGGAGGCCGTTAACCACCGCTGCCTGGTCGGTTAAATGCCAGATGCCAACTCCGGCTGCCTGGGCCAAGGGGGCGTCTGTCCTGACGAGGCAGGCTCCCCAGGGCCCCCTTGAGCTCTTTGTCGCCCCATAGCAATAAGGGGAGGGGGAAACAGAAGAAAGGAAAGCAGGAAGCTTCTGTCACGCTTTTTCTCCCCAGCCTCCCACAGCGGGCTGGGAAACTGGTCTTAGACTCCAAAGTTTAGACCCTAAATGAAATGCTGGCACATTTTGGAGCTGTGGTCACGGGACTCAGCTGGATGTCGGGTTGGGGGGTGCAGCTGGTGGAGGGTGGGGCTCTGGGCGCTCCCCTGGGGCCCATCCAGGAAGAGGGGTCGGCCAGGAGGGCTGTCCTGCCGCGGCGTTCAGCCCCGGGCAGGCAGGTTGGACAGGTGGACCAGGGAAGCCGGCCTACGGCAGGGTCTGTGGTGAGATGCTGAAGCGGGAGGAGCAGGTGAACAAGGCTTTTTGGAAACTGACCTCGTCACATCAGGCGGTCCGCTGCTTAGAGGCAGGGTGTCTGTGCCCAGGGAGGCGGGAGGCAGCCACACCCGTGACAGCGGCAGAATTGCAGGAGCGGCGCTGCCCTCTCCTCTGGGCGTGTGGCCGGGGCCCTTGGGATGCGCTCTTTTTTTGATACGTCCTGTAACTTCCGAAGAACAGAATTTTTAAAAGATGTTAGCAGTTTCATGGATCGACAAGTGGCCGTCTGTGGGTGTTTGTTCTCTCCTCTCCATTGGTGTTTTATTTAGGGACCTAGTGGGCATGCTTTCTGGTGGGCTTTTCCTTGCGGGCATGGAGGCAGGCGCTGTGGGCAGTCACCTCACCCGTCGGACAGGCGGGCGTCTCCGCTTCGGCTCCCTCATCTGCTCTGTCTGCCTGGGGCTCCGCCTGCTGGGCTGAGCGGAGGGTGGAGGCCGCCTGCTCCTGCCCTCACACGTCCTGCTGGCACAGCCTCGCAGGCCCTCCAACCCGATGTCGCCAGGCGTTGATCTCCTGGGATCAGGATGCTCTGCTTTGCAGGCTGAGCCTGGGTGCCAAGGTGCTGCTTCCCGGCTCCTCTCAGGGAAGCGCCACGTGCAGGATGGCGTGGAGGCTTGTCGGGGCACTGCGCCCCCCGGGCGCTCCCTCACCGGCCCCCTTTCCCCCCAGGCATGGGCCGATGCCTTTCGGAGCAGCCCCGACCTCACGGGCGTCGTGCACACGTACGAGGAGCTGAAGCGGAAGGGGGTGGAGTTCCCCACCGCGGACCTGGACGCACTGTCTCCCATACACACCCCGCAGCGGGTGAGCCTCCCCAGCGCCTGTCACGGGCCTCCTGCGGCCGCCCCATTTGAACTGTTCGGCTTCTCACCAGCTTTCTTGAAGCTCCAGGGTGTTTCTTTTTAATAGTGGAGCGGGGGTGGGGGTGTGCAGTGCAGGAGCGAGACAGCTGGCAGGCGGTTACGTGGTGGGAGTGCCCCCCCACCGTTGCTCCCTGAGTCTGGAAGAAGATAAAGATGAGTCGGTGCAGTTACTCTCAGGGAAATGTCTGCTTGGCGGAGCCATCCTGGGAGGGCCTCCGCGCTGCCCTTCAGAGCCGGGTATGGTGTGCGGGCGCCCTCACAGCATCCCTGGCCACAGGGCAGGGGGGCACCTTCCAGGCGTTTCACCGTGCAGCTCAAATGGATGGAAACTTCCATTTGAGCTGAGAGGGTCAGCACCAATCCAGACACCCTTGAATCCCGTCAGCCTCGGGATTCAAAACCTGGGGAGAGCCCGCTCAGGCCTCCCACAGCCTCGCTCACATCACCGCAGCCCTGCTTCAAAGTGAAAGGTGCACAGGCAGGGCTGTCCATCCTCTCACGGGCAGGCCGGAAGCTCGGGATCTGGGAAGCACCCGCCCCGCACGCCCGCCACGGGCTGGCCGTTTGCCATCTCTGAAGTGGGGAGGGTGGGAAGGACAGAGCCATGCAGGGAATTGCACTTCCCAAGTCTTGTTTCGGGGTGAGCCCTCCAGAGCACCAGCTGACACAGGACAGCGCTCTGTGTACAAACAGCGTTCGGTAAGTTGTGTAATTACTGTTTGTACTAGTCTCCTCGTAAAGGCCAAAAAGTCATCTTTTGTCACCAAGTAAGGATTCCTGACTAGCAAAACTTCATAGCAGCCCCTCCACTCAGATTCTGAGGTGGTCCTAGCGGTGGGACTGTGACCAGGGCTCTGCAGATGGCCGGGTGGGACGTGCAGCCCCGGGAGGGGAGTGCCGGGTAGGTGTCAGGCCAGCGGTGGGTGGGAGGCCTGGTGAACAGAAGGCTTTGCTGTTGCCGCACAGAGCGTCCCGGAGGTGGACCCAGCTGCCACCATGCCCAGGTCCCAGTCGCAGCCGAAGACGAGTGCCGGCTCCTACTCTGCTCCTCAGGCCCCGGCTCTGAGTGTGACTGGCCCCATCACAGCCAATTCAGAGCAGGTACGTACACACTTCTGGGTCACAGGTGAGCAGGCCGACTATGCGCCTTCTACTCCGAGGACACAGGGCACTGTGCTAGGTGTCGGTGACATGGGTGTCAGGGCCTGGACTCTCTCCTGGTGGCTCGCCGTCGAGTGACAGCGTGGTCACTCCGAGGTGGGAGCAGGGCCCGAGTGCTGCATGAGCCCAGAGTGGAGGCAGCCTTGGGGGCGGCACTGCTGAGGTGCCTTGCAGGGGGCGGGGCATGGCCCGGGGCATGGAGGGGCGGGGCGTGTGCTCTGGGAGCGGCAGGGGGATGGCTTGGAGGCTGGGGCAAGGGCAGGTCCGGAGGTAGGTCCGGTCCGGGGCGGGGCAGGTGGAGGGTGAGCCCCAGAGCCCAGAGATGGAGCTGAGTTGTGAGCGCCCCGGGTGTCCCGCAGAGACGTTTCCATCTTCCTGTGCGAGGTCAGCCCGGGCTGTGGAGGCAGAGGCCGGCATGGAGCCTTCAGGAAGGGTACTCCTGCTTCACCCCAGACGCTGCCCACCTCCCTAAGCTGTGTCCTCGGGGGGCTGGTCCCGCCCCAGCCCCAGCCCTGAGCTGTGTCCTCGGGGGCAGGGCTGCCTCAGCCTCAAACTGGATTTTTTTTAGATGAGTCTGAACAATTGTCTTTAGATGAATCTAGAGAATTTCCATTAGTAAAAACTTGAGAATTGGTCAGACTTGGAAAAAAAAACCCCAACGTTTATATTTTTTTAATTCTTATTTAACATTTGTGACAAGTAATTCTTACGGAACCGCATTTGAACAGAGAGGCCTGGGGGCAGCTGAGGGGCAGACCACTCTGCCACGGGGGTCAGTGGGTCAGTCCTGGTGCCACCATTAAGAAAATGAAAAAAATAAAACACAGAGGGGTCAAGCGATCGCGCTGGTTAACGGAGCACGTGCATGTTTCCCTGCTGCCAGCTTCAAGGAGGGCCATGGTTGGGCAGGAGGTGGGCTGGGGAGTCAGGCCTGAGCTAGACACCAGCTCTGCTCCTCCCAGGGGACATAGACACCGAGCCTCAGTCTCCTGAGAGCAGGTCGGGACATGGATCCCTTGGTAGGGAGCCGGTGGGGTGTCTGCTGCCAGAAGTGCATGGTTCATGCTGGCCAGCCATCAGAGATCCTAGATTCCCGGCTGGAGTCTGCAACCACAAGGTTCCTGGACGAGGGTCCTGCCCCACAGGGACCTTGGGGGCCACACTGTCCACCATGTGAAAGCACAGAGACAGGGCCTGAGAGGTCCACTTCCTGCTGCAGGCCCCACAGTGGGAGAGCCGCTCTCCCCCACGTCCCCGGCAGCAGCCGCAGTGGTAGCCTGGCCCCCCAGTCAGGTCTTTGCCAGCTGCCCTCACCCTCACGGGCAGGCGGAGTGAGGCCGTGTCCTGCCAGGCGCAGGCTCACTGGCCTCCCCCGGCCTTCCTCCCCGGCCCCAACAGATCGCCAGGCTGCGCAGCGAACTAGATGTTGTTCGAGGAAACACAAAAGTCATGTCTGAGATGTTGACAGAAATGGTCCCTGGGCAGGAGGACTCGTCCGATCTGGAGCTGCTGCAGGTGAGGGGCCTCGTCTTGTGGAAGCTCCGGGCCAGGGGCACGCAGGGAGGTGGGAGGTGGGGTGGGGTTGGGGCACTGTCCTCGAGAGGGGTTGAGCCCGTGTGGCCCACGCTTGGCCCCACAGCCCTGGGGGCCCTCAGAGTCCAGTCCCAGGCTCTCTTTTCTTTATTGTCCTTAAACACAGTTTTTGGGGGTGTGGGAGTAGCTCAGTGGCAGAGAATATGCTTAGCACGTGTGAGGTCCTGGGCTCAATCCCCAGTACCTCTGTTCTAAACAAAACAAAACTCTTTGTGCTGATTAGAAAGTGCCAGTTGCAGAATACATGCCTTTTGAAAGAAAAAGAAAGTCAAAGAAGAAAATAATAATCTTCTTTAGTCCCAGGGTCCACAGATAAGCACGTCTTTTCTTTCCGACGCTTTCCCATGTTTATTTCAAATGTGGGTGAGATGATATCCCGTGCTCGATTCTGCACATCTCTGTTCACCCAACATTACATCACAAATGCGTGAGGGACCTTCAGTCTTCCCTGCGCGTGGGGTGAAGCAGGGGACCCTTTCCTTTTCCTGGCGCTGCGGGTTCCCAGGCTGATTGCCCACATCGTGGTTCCTGAGGCTCCGTAGCTAACAGGATGCCCTGTAGACCCAGGAACCTGGCACAAAAGGGCCCAGGAGCAAGGCTGGCCTGCGGGGACCCTGCCCCAGGCCCCACTTCCGGGTCCACCAGACCCAGAGCTATCCCCACCCTGGCTCAGACACTCCGGCGTCTGTGGGAAGTGGCAGTGGCACTGCCCTCAGAAGCAGTGACCTTCTGGAGGGGGAGAGGGTTCTGGGAGGCCTGGGGCTGTCTCTCCAGCAGGAGGTGGGGCAGGTGGGCGTGGCAGGGCTGCCGGGCTCTGTCCCCTGAGGGCCACACTGCACTCTGCTTCAGGCTTGCCCGCCCCCCCCAGGGCTGGGCAGGTCCCTGCTGCTTGTCTGCACCTCAGGGGATGAGGGTGGGCGGAGGCCTGCTCTGGGCCCCCCTCCCCCGCTCCCCCCACACAGAGAGAGCCCAGGGATGTATGGGCCGTGGTCCCTGGTCCAGAGATGTTCACAGCAGGCAACCCATCTCCCACCACGAGGAGGGCCTCCCAGCCACAGCCGGGCTAGGACAAGTCCCATGTGCAGGTGCCACACTCTGGGGCGCCGGCAAGACATCATCCATCGCTACCGCATCAGCCTCCATCCCTGGCTTTCAGGGGCTCTTCCAGGCATCCCTCGAGGCACAGGAATCTGAGATGAGTCCCCAGACAGTCCAGAAACCCAGCGGGCCTCTGGAGGCAGCTCTGTGCTGTGTCAGCATCAGAGCTCCTGCTGACAGGGGTTTGCAGTGGACGGAGCTGAGCTCCTGGCCGCAGGAGGAGCAGAACAAAGCCAGTGTGCGGCAGACGGCCCAAGCCACCCAGACAGCAGGCACCCCTGTGTGCGTGTGCATGCACGTGTGTGTGCGTGTGTGTGTACACAAGCCCGTCAGCCAAGACAAACGGAACCTGATCCCTGGGCCTCAGCTCACAGTTTTCAAAAATAGGTTGCTTCCCATGACATTTCCCTTCCCTCTGTTTTATTCCGATTCCAAGCCGACCCACCTTCATGCTGTCGTATAAGTCAGAGGGAGGGCAGTGCTGGGCGCCAGTGGGAGGCTGTCCTTCCGACCTAGGAGGCTCAGGGGCGGGCAGCTCGATGTGAACAGACACGGCTCTTCAGGCCGCTGGCCTCGCTCCTCCATCATTCTCGACATTGGCCTCCTTCCCTCCACAGTCGGCAGCTGGCCAGGCGGGGTTTCCCAGGGGTCACTCGGGGCAGCACTGAACAGCAAGCTTCCGCTTGGGAAAAATGCCACGATCTGCTTGGAAAGGGACGGGGTCCGACTGTGCCCTGAGGACCCCTCTGTCGAGCTGGAGAGCGGCCAGATCGCTTTGGGTAGAAGCTGGCCAGGCTCGCAGTGCTGGCCGGGGCTATGGAAGCAAATGCATTTGTCACGATCCCAAGTGGTCACACCGTCGGAAGCGGCTCCCAACTTGAGTGTAAATTGCTGGGCAAGAGGCAGAGGAAGTGTGGAGGGGAGACTGGAGGTGTCGGCAAGGATGCCCGCCACCGCGGCTTCCTGCCACTGCACGGTGCTTCCAGGGGTGGCCCGTTCTGCAGTCTGCAGAGCGGCAGGAACACTGGGCAGGGTGGGCGAGGGGCACTGAGTCCCCCGGGACAGTGTGGTGGGACGTCCCTGGGAAGGTGGCGGCTTCCCTCTGAGCTGGGGGGACCCACCCGGCAGCTGGTCCAGCTCCTCCTTGTGCTGCCTCCCCCACCGCCTGCCTGTCGTTCCCTGGAGGCCTGTCTGTCTCCACACGGAACAGACTTTGGGAAGCAGCACAAGCAGCAGGAAGAGCCACAGCTTGGGCGCCCCTGGGGTCATGTCCTGACGTTAGGCAGGTCACCTCACCTCAGAGCCTGGAGTGATCTCTCACCGCGGAAGGACTGGGCATCGTCTGGTGAATGAGCTATAGTGTGGGTGCAGCCGTCGGAGCCACTGTGACCACAGGCTGCTCCCCTTCCACGCACGGAGCTGAAGGCTGCCTCCTGGGACTCTGCCCTGGTCTGTCTGCTTGACCTGCAGCAGAAAACAAATTACTCTGTCATGTGGTGGGTCCTTAATACTTGCCAGTGGCCGCCAGCCCCTCCCACGGCCCAGTCTCTACACGGTGCTAGCTTGGCTGTTGGCATCGTCCCCACAGGTCAGCCAGGGGGTTCTCAGCAGGAGGCAGCGCTGGGAAACCGAGAACTTCCATCCACTGAAGACCGTCCACCTCCCTCGCCAGCTGTTCAGCCTCGTCTTCCTCGTCGTGGGTGTGGGCACACTGGGTCCTGCCTGAAATTTGAGACTGCCTCCCTGGGGGCTGGAGTTCTCGCCCTTAGCTGCGCCTGGGAGTCCAGCTTTCGGGATCTGTAAAGATTGCAGTGCCATTGTCTGTGCCCTCGGCTGCTCCCAGATTCCTCTCCAGCTGTGTCTTTACTTACTACCTGAGCCGGCTGTGCCTGACACGGGCATCCATTCCTGGCCACCCCTCATGCCCTGTAAGAAGCCCTGGCCCACGTTGTCTCTCGGGTGGCAGGTGCCTCTTACGTCTCACTTCAACAAAAACCAGGATGATGGCACCATTTCCTCTAGAGAAATCTCATTTATTCTGCATGTTTAGCCCGTTCGTCCCCTTTCTCTTCAGCAAAGACGTTCTCTCGCTCCCTCCCCTTTGCAGCTGTAGAAGACAGGTCCTCGGGACCTCACTCCGCCCCTTAGAACTTGGAGAGGGTTCAGAGGAGACCTGTAAGGAAGATGAGAAGACGGTTTTGCAAGGTGGGGATGAGAACGTCCCTTGGAGAAAAGATAAAAGCGCTGGGATTAATTAGACTAGAAAAGAGGCTATTCTGTAAGATGCTCTGAGGAATGGAGGGCTTGTGCACAGAGTGGTGACCAGCTGGTCTCCCCTTCGTTGAGAACCAGACGCAGGGAGGCCAGGCTGAGACCTTCTGTGTCTGGGAAGTTCCTGCCCCAGCTGTTGCCAGGTGGAGGGGGAGCTGGGCCGGCCATGGCTCCCAGTGTCTCGGGACCAGGAGAAGGCGCCCAGCTGGATGTGCAGAGGTGGTGTGAGGCAGGGGAGGGTCTCCCCGCTGAGCCAGCAGTGTGGTCAGCCAGTGGGTGGCGGGGGCGGCAGGAATCTTCACACTCTGGTCCTCCTCTCCTATTCCGTCTCTTTTTTTCCTTCCTGTTTAATATTTTTTAAAGACAGTAACTTAAAAGGTTGAAGCAAGGAGAAGGTAAAACTTTCTGTAGAGACCCCTGATTCATGATGAGACCCTCCAGGCCTGTGTTTCGGCAAAGCTCCTGGGGGGGCCCCTGGGTGCTGGTCCAGGCGGTCCTGCCCAGCACCCCAGCCGAAGGCCACAGGAGGGAGGCCACGTGCTGGGCCCTCGGGTGTCATCCCGCCTCCAGGCGAGGCCTGAGAAATCACCTAGTGCTTCCCAAACATTCGGGAAAGTCACGGAGCCCTTCCTCCACAAGAGAAGCTGCGGTGTTTGCACACAGTGTTCAGCACACACGGAAGCAGACCCACCCTGGCTGCTGGGGGGCCCGGGCAGAGCGTCACCTCTTCCCAGCCCTGGCCCTTCATCCCGCTCTGGGAGAGAGGCCCAAACAGCTAATGATCAGTCACAGTTGCCTGCTGCCTGCCACAGGGCCCCTGCCCACAGGGAGGCCGGGCCCAGCCCTGCCCTCTCCTGCTTCAGGTGGGAGCTTCAGGTGTGTGCAGCCTGCGGAGGGTCGACCTGGTTCTCCTCTGGATCGGGGCGCCGGGCTTCCGCTGTTTGGGGTGGGCTGGACCGGTCTTCCCTTTCTGGAGGCGGAGGCGCCCTGGGCGGTCTGGGGCGGCTGGGGAGTCGGTGTGTTCGTTGGCAACCCCAGAAAACACCTGAGATGCGCTATGGTCCGCAGAGGATGAGGCCAGCCTGTCCCAAGTGACAGGAAGGCCTGTGGGGCTTTTGTGCAGGAGGAAAAGCAGGTGCGGGTTCACGTACTCAGGCTTTGTAGACGGTTTGTACAGACGTGCTCTGCGCCCGCGGCGTCTGTCTCCGGAGGAAGCCCCGCCTCGGGCGGGGGAGGCGGGGAGGGGCTTCCACCTGCCTCTAGCACACTTGTGGGCTTTGTGGACGACCCCCTTGGTGGCTTCTCGGAGTGAGCACGCGTCTTTGGAAAGCACGCGGAGGCAGGCGGAAGCGTGGGGGTAGCAGGCGCTTGTCCCCTAGGAGCTGCACAGGACCTGCCGCGCCATGCAGCGGCGCATCGTGGAGCTCGTCTCCCGCGTGTGCAACGAGGAGGTCACGGAGGAGCTGCTGCACGTCAACGACGACCTCAACAACGTCTTCCTCCGATACGAGAGGTGGGCGGGGCGGGGGCGGGGCGGGGCGACGGGGTGGGGGCGGTGCTCGGGCGGCAGGGGCGGGTTGGCGGGGAGGCGGGGTTGAGGGGGCGTGGGGGAGTAGCCCAGGAGACGGGTCGCGGGTCAGGCCTTGCTCCGTGAGCTGCAGGCCGCCCCCCCGGGAGGGAGGACCGGGCACCGGCTGCAGCTCCTGCGCCTGCGCCTCTGACGGCCCTCTGCGCGGGAAAAGGACTGACGGGGAAAGTCTCCACCGAGGGAAGAAGAT